CATTCGGGAACCGTCCAAGAAATCGGTTCCGTTTTATCTCAAACCTGGTCCTTGAGAAAAAACCGTTGAATCGATCAATGACCTGTTGACTCGGGCGACTGAACTGTCGACCCATTCAACGGTTTTTGGCCATTTTTTAATTTTAATTATTATTATTTTTTTAATTTTTTGTTGTCAGAACGAACCATCAACCCAAAAACTGGTGGCCAAAACAGTTCCATTTCCTGGATGTTTTTTAAAACCATGGTTTTGACTGACAACACAAGTGGGGCATGGGTGTCATTACGGCTGAGAGGAAATCAATGATCCAGATGTAAGAGCAATGAACAATTTCATATATCTTGATGTAGAAACAACTAATCATTTTTTTCTTCAATAATCCTGGATGAGTTGTTGGTTTGTGATCTGTGTGATTGTAACTGACTTTGGGAACTGTGGCGTTACAGGATTTGAACTCATGATGCTCAGCTAGGGAGCTTATGTATTAGGCATTAAATTTAATAATATTTTGAATTGTAGGTGAAGGATAATTGATAGTTTGTATTTTCTACTGATTTTAATCAAATAATTAGAAATTTTGATGCTTGTTCATGTTATYTTACTTGTTTTTGCTTATATATTATAAAAATAATAATAGGGAATTACATATCGGGTTTGAACCCAATCAATCAACCTACTCAACCAACCCTCAAATGCAGGAAAGGTAGGGCTGTAGGGGTTGGAAGGGTTCATTTTCATGTGTGGTGAGGGTTTGGATTCTAAAAATTCAACCCCCGTGGATTTTGACAAGGGTACATGTTGGGAGGTCTAGGGGGATGGATAGGGTTTAGAGTTTACAAAACCCTACTTGAACAAACTTTTATTCTCTATGGTGTTTGGTTCTATTTGTCACCTATTAGCTACATTTGTTGTTGAATCCCCAATAGAAATGCTCTAGCTATCCTCCAACCATATTTTACAACATGAATGTTTTTGTTTCCATTTGTTTTTCTCCTTTTCTTTTAATTCGTTGCATAAAAAAAAAAACATTTTCTTGAACTTTATTTTTGTTTTCAAAGAAAAAAATTGGTTTTGTTTTAAAAAACAATACATGTTTTTGGAACTTAAAACAAAATAAATTTTGTACTGATGAAAATACGATTACTAAACAATCTTGCACATTTCTACTAGGAGTTCATGGGCCTTCCTACAGCCACAGAGCGTGATAGATCCAACCAATAGGAACTAGAAGATCTGGACTATGGATGATCCCGCCCTGGCTGGAATAAGGTAATAACAACATTTAGGGCTATACTAGCCCATCCCAGATGGAACCCCATGTTTGATATTATATTTTCTTAGGATAGGGCCCAAGCTAGACATCTAGGCTTGTAATTAGAAATCAATAAAAATATTTGATATCTGACATACCTGGACCTRATTAATAGGGTTTGGGTCAACAAATTTTGGAATCAAGAATAATTGAGTCCAAAGTCCATTTGTTTAGGACACTTCAAGATTCAACGTCAACCTTAGACCCAAATACCTGATATACATTTTTGAATATATAAATCTTGAATTTATATATTCAAAGGGATTTGTTAATTTCCACATATCTGATTAGCTACATTTTCATTGATATCCAAATACATTGGTATCCCTGTTAGAAGGCCTCACTAGGATTTTAACTTGATCCTCTTTTATGGACAACATTTATACTAAATATAAGAAAAATAGAAGGCTATCAATYGGGTAAAATTGTTAGATAATGTGTGCCCTTAGTTCCAATTAGATTGATGTACAAATATATTTATTATAAATGAATAAAAATACATTATTGTTTCATGTTGTCATTGTTATGTTTCTGTGAAATTACCCCTTAAATTAGACACTTATGAGACTCGTGTTAGTTTAGAATGTTCTCAATCGTTGGATAGACTTGGGGAGTTTATTCTACAAAGGCTGACACTGATGTGCTACCAAAGAAATTGGGGCAACTTGTATCAATTGCTAGGGTTAGACCTGAAGCACATATAGTGTGTATTTGATTGAAGCACTGAACCTGGACCATTTTTCAATTATGCCATGGACCTTGGAGCCTAAGGGACAAAATTGGAAAGTTACACATAACCCCTAGACTTGATTATGGTATTACACTAGGTGTCGGATTGGGCTGTCTTTCATATGCCAATCACTCAGATCCTTTGTGGGTCAAAATTTGGGTATGTTGGGGCAGTCTAAGAATTCACTTAAGTGGGTGATCATTATGATAGGATCTGCCCCTTTGTCGGACAAAGTGAATGATCGGGACTACACTCTCTCTGATGGAAACCTAAACTGTCGGCAATGGATTTTAACCGTGTTTGAGATTTTGTTTTTGTAATATATATATATATATATATATATATATATTATGTTTTAAGAAAAGTATTTGCAAAAGGTTTTAATTCCTGTGATCCATCCGAGCAGAGAGTGTAACACTGCACCTTGCAGTCAGGGGAGAGGTCATTCCCTCCTGGACAGTGTTTGACCATTGTGGGCTGAGAGATTAAGTGTAAGAGACCATTAAAGGATGATTACCTGATGGGTTATATCTTACTTAAGTCCATTATCCTTGGATTTTCATAGGATGGCTAGATTCAAGGATTTTTTAACTGTAAATGTTGGGCCCATTAAGAGCCCATAGTGATGAGATCAGGGGTTCATTGCATTTGGCAATGATTTCAGCCAAGCCTTTTCACAGAGGTTGGGTCAAGCCCATGTGGGCTTATGTGAGGTCATTGTGGGGTCCCACGCTATACAAATCAAATCTAAATAGGCCAGCAACACTCTTGGGTCATGAGCCACTTAACTAATGGGCCTAAAGCCCATGATTAATATGATCAATCAAGATGTCACATGACTACTTAAGTTGTCATATGACATGGGCGAATATGGGTATGGAGCACCYATTCTCTTAAGAGAATAAGACCTATCTCTTGACCAGATCCAAATAAAGATTTGGATTAACATCCTAATTTGATTAGGAAAGGTTCTCCATAAAGGATAAAAGAAGAAGAGATGGAACTGCTCCAGATAACTCTACAATTCAGCCTTCTCTCTTCTCCTCTTGTCACTCAAGAGGAAAATCGTGCTCACCTCCCCAGTTCGATCAAAGGTGTAGGATTGCAGTTTTGCTGAAAACTGCRTTGCTGAACCGGCTTCACTTCAAGTTGAGCCATGTTCAGTGGAAGCTGGCTTTAGTGACTGATTTGAGCGTGAATTACCACCTTGGGAGCTACATTTGTGGAATCCGTATCAGGTATACATCTCCCTCTTGTTTGGTTTCAAATCTGATTCAGTTCCAATGCAAGATCAATCCTAGAAAAATGCAATTTTTCTAAAATCGGGGAATACGATTCCTAGAAGGTTAAAATTGTTTTTTTTTTTAATTTTGCCCAGCCATCTAGCATGGTTTGGCTATCCATATGATGGATCCTAACCTTCCTTCAAAAAACTTCAATAGAGGATTCAGTATAAAGCATATATATGCACCGTGTGGTTGAAAGCCTTCCTAGCAGTTCATAAGGTTCCCTTTTTGATAGATGGTTTGGGTCATCTTCAAGATCCCCCCATGTGGCTAAAATAGGTGTGGTTATGTTTGTCATGCATTCACTAGTTTTTATCAGTCTAATAAAAGCATGGAATAATAAACTAAAATAATAAAACAGATCTGACTTGATCAAATCTTGAAGACTAGTAATGCTTTGGCAAAATAAAAGAATAAAAATAAAATAAATATGCATTATACCTCAAGTTTCCATAACCACTATTCTTGACTTGTAGGGACTGATATCCTTCTTGTATCAGCCTTTGGGCATTCTCCTTAATAGTTGAATCAATACAAGTGTTTCCACTCGAATGCAATATTTTCTACCACCAAGATAGATACTTGATGACTGCAAATACTCTCATGAGTTGGAGGTTAGGTAATAGAGAGGTTGTCTCTCACGAACAGGGGATAGGGGTCTTCTCTCATATTAATTCTTTTTGGGCAAGCTCCACCCACATAATGAGCTCTATTTGGGTGGTTGGATTAGGACCAACCAATCTGGATCATGGCCACTATGATGGGCCATAATTCGGGTCCTACCTATATAGGTATTTTTCAAACAATCTCCCACTTGGCATGAATAGTGGACATAGAGAGAAATCATAAAATGAATTTAGCTTGATCAAGTTTAATGATTATGTAAGTATACACATGTGAGGACATACTGTTTAGTTCCCTATAGATATGTGAGGACATACTGTTTAGTTCCCTAYAGATATCTAAGCACTTTGTTTGCGTTTTTCAATGTTTCCTATTTGGGTTACTTTAAAATCTACCCAGTATTCCCACAACAAATGCAAATGTCAGGTCTTGTGCAAACCTATGCATACATCAAACTACCAATGACTGATGCATAAGGAACTCTACTCATGTCCTCTTTCTCATATTTAGTTTGAGGATAGCTTTCGTTGCTAAGTTGATATCCTTTATAAATGGGAATTGCACTTGACATACAATTTTCCATCCCAAACCGTTCTAAGACCCTTTAGGATAATCCCAAAAATTTATAAGTTCTATCTCTTTGGATCTCAATTCTTAGAATATAGGAATCATCTCCCATATCCTTCATGTCAAATTTCTGTTTTAGAAATTCTTTGGTTTGGTACAATAGGCCCATATCTCTAATAGCTAACAAAATATCATCAACATATAACACTATCATAATGAAACTACTCCCACTGACCTTGAGGTATATACATTGATCCACAACATTTTCTTTGTATCCAAAAGATGTAATAATACTGTCAAATTTGTAGTATCACTGGCCGRAAGCATATTTCAACCCATAAATRRCCTTTTTCAGTCTACAAACCATATGTTCCTTACCCTCAATTGCAAACMCTTTCGATTGCTCCATGTGCATTTCCTCTTCTAGATCACCATTCAAAAAGGTTGTTTTCACATCCATTTGATGTAGCTCCATGTCATAATGAACTACCAAGGCCATGATTATTCTAAATGAATCTTTCTTGGGATAGGAAAAGAATATCTCATTGTAGTCAACTCCCTTCTCTGTATTGTACCCTTTGACCTCGATCCTAACTCTGTAGCTCTTAACTTCACCAGTAGGCGCCCTTTTAGTCTTGAGTATCCATTTGCATGAAATTGTCCGAGCACCTATAGGTAGTAAGTCTCAGACACCATTAGTGACCATAGAGCCAATTTCACTCTTCATGGCCTCAAGCTAGAGTGCAGAGCTGCAACTATCCATGGCTTCTCTAAACATGAGTAGGTCTATAAAAGGACCCATATCAAACTTAGTCTCCTAAAAGCATACATAATCAAAAGATGCAGTACTTATTTTAGTYGATCTCCTAGGGAGTATGGGTTCTTGTGCTCTCTACGGAAGTTGATATTTGTTCCATAGGTTCTTTTAGATGAGCAACAGTTGCTTCTATCTCAGTAGTCTGTTCTACTAATAGTTGCTCTTCTTGTACTACAAAGGAATCTATAGGCACAACAACATTGAAATGTCTCTCAATATTTTGAACTTCCCTAAAGTCAATGCTTTTGGGGTGCTCACTCCCACTTTCCAAGAGATCCTCTAAGAATTTCACATATCCTGCCTCTACAATTCTTGGAAAATTATTTGGACAATAGAACCTAAACCCTTTGGATCTTTTAGTATACCCTACAAAATGTCCGCTGGTGGAGTGACTTCGTGACTTCCGCTGAAGAACTTTTAGTGGGAGTTTTTTGTTTATACCGACAACAGAGAAAACTATCGCTAGAACTTCTAGCGACACTTTTTTTAGTGGCAGTTTTGTAGATTGCCGGTAAAACCTATAGCATCAGTTTTGGGGACTTCTAAATTACCGTTACAAGTCATTTTTCCTGTAGTGGTTGAAATTCTCATATAATGTTCTTGAGGATAGGACATAGGCTAGGGTAGGGGTGAGCATTTGGTTTATTCAGTTAAAAAACAAAATTTTAAAAACCGAACCAAAACCAAAATAATCAAAATTTTTGGTTCAGTTTTTGGTTATTTTGCTTAAAACAAGATTTTAATAATATATACTCTATTATATATATTATAACATATAATATATATTATATATTATAAAATCAAATTTTAGTATATTATATGTTATATTATATATTATATATAATAATAAAAAAGTTCGGTTAACTTTAATTCGGTTAACCGAAATTCTAATTCTAAAAACTGAAACTAAATTAACCGAACCGATTTAACGAAAAATCGAAAAAACCGAACCTAAAAACCAAAACCAAAATTTTCGGTTCGGTTTTTCCGTTTTAACCGATAGTACTCACCCCTAGGCTAAGGGAGCTGAATCTTTATAAATCTTTGGTGTTCTTGGGCTTTTCAATATTGTGTTTTGCTTGTGTTAATCTGTCATATCTTATTCTTAATCTTGCAACAACATTCACATTATTTTACACACTCATGGAAAAGAGGAAAATTGTTTTGAAGAACTCAGTTCCCCCCATCTTGGGTTTGGCCATTGGGCAATGTCATCCAGTTCAATCATTTGAAGGTACAATATAAAAGGTAGGCCTACAACCTTTTCTCTTTGGTGCTTATAATTATAAATTTTTTTTAATAAAGGTTTATAGTTTTTAATGTATTTTGGTGTGAATTAGAGGAGGTAATGAGACAAGCTTGGGGATGTTTTGTAAATTCTACACCTTCCCTGCCTCTCCAAATCTATACAGTCCGTACCCTCCCAAAAATTTGCAACAAATTGGATTTTCAGAATCCAAATCTTCCTCACACATGAAAACGCAAAACCCTTCTCAATATTACTCTCCTCGCATTTGAGGTGGAATGGGTTGAGTCCATAACTCACATCTAATTTAATATGAACAAATATCAAAATATTCAATTACTTGATTGAAAAACATAAACGATCAATTATTCTTCATATACAATTCAACACATAATAATAAGTCCATAAGCCTTATAGCACAATAAAATCAACATCCAACAAGTTGGGGAGGGTCGGGTTTAACCTTATAAGGCTACTACTGTACCCTACCTGTAATTACAGGGTTGTAAAATTCCAAAACCTATTCCCGCCCCAAAATCAAAATCTATTCTTGAAACTAAAAGATRATCCCGTTGAGGTGGATACCTAGTTATTGAATAGGGTGAAATTTGTCACCCGATTCATATTGTTAGCATCAAATATAATCCTTTAATGGTCCTCCATAACCAGTTTAATAGACCAACACAATAACGGTCTACCCTAACCACTTTAATTGTAAATTACCATCAATTATTAAATGTAACTAATAGTAATTTGACAACAACTATTAATATTAATTAATTAAATTAACAGTAAAATATTGATACTAACAATGTCAAAAACTAAATATATAGTAGACCCATTAACGGTCCACCCTAACTGGTTTATTAAATTTAATTAACAGTAATTTGACAACAATTATTAACAGTAACTAATTCAATAAAGTAAGAGTAAAATTATAATATTAGCAGAAATTTAACAATAAATTGTTCAATATTCAAAGTTAGTTATTTGAATTTACTTCAAAATGGCAAACCGAATTCGATTTCGTATTAACAATCGAATATTCGAATTCGATTTCAATTCAGCAAACTGCAATAAGGTCTAGGGTTTAGTATTCTAATCAAACTTACCTCTGTGCCATGTATCACAGATGTAAAGCCTAGAGACTCTTTGCTTCTCTCAGCAGATGAAAATTTGTGCGTTTCTCTAGTGAATGTTTTGGATCTCGCTAAAATTAATGAAGCTTTCAAATTTGCGAGAGAGATTTAAAAGTGAGATGAATAGAGAAAACACGATCCCTTTCTATCTCTCTTTTTKCCGTCACCAAGGGCAGTGTTGAGTAGTAGTGGCAATTGGGCGGGTTGTGTTGGATTGAGTTTGGTTTGGGTTGAGCTTAAATCTAATTCATCTAACTCGTTAATCTATAAATGACCCAATTATATAAAATTAAATGGGTTAGGTTCAACCCAATCTAACCCGTCCAAACCCATTAGTCTTATAATACTAACTCCCACTAAACAAATAAGTTGGTCATAAATTGGTGGTAATAGTAGTTATTATTTACACAAGTTGTGAAGGTTCAAATCATATTACATGGATATTATTTCATGCAAGTGGTTAAGCCATTTGACTATGTTTGGGTTTCAGGTTTGACCAAACCACTTAATTTCAAATTGGTCAAACCAACTTGAACTATATTGGACTTGTCTTTGAGCTAATCACATCAAGAGTGGTTGAATCATTTGAATTTGGATTAGTCCGGTCAGACCAGTTCAGTCAATGGCAGATTGACTTAGATCGGCCCATATCAGGTTGTACATGAGTTTGGGCCAAATTGACTAGTCCGAAGTGGGTCAAGGGAAGTAGACCAAGTCGATCCAAATTTGGGTTGGCTCGACCGATCTGAAATGCGTCGAAGCAAGCATACATGTTGCTTTAGGTTGAGTCGTGTTGGATCTAGGTCGAACCAGTCTGTCTGGAACCACTCCGGATTCGGGTTGGTCTAGATCACCCTGATCTAGATTGGGCTGGGTTCGTACTGGGCCAACCGGCCCAAACAAATCTAATTGAGGTGATCGGGTCTGTTTATATTCAGATTGGGCTAAACTGATCCAGACTAGTCCAAGCTTGAGTCAGGTTGATTTGGATTTAATTATAAATTATTTCACTCAAATGAAGAAAATTAAAAAAATGGATAAAGWATTCGTATTTRCAACTTTAGTAGTTAACCCAATGATTATCTACAACCCAACCCATTTAAATTGACTCAATGATTTATCAACCCATTTACAACTCGCCATGAATTGGGTGATTCAGCGGGTTGGGTGGGAAATCGCCACCCCTAGTGTTGAGGTGGTGTAGGTGCCATCAACTGAGCCAATCCACTTAATGGCCCACCAGTTTAAAAACATGCAGGAAAAACCATTTCCATCATCGCTACGTATTAAAACCATCCAACAAACCTGGCGATATAAACGTGGAGTGGCAAAACAAATTCACTGCCCAATACATACCGTTTAGTCCTTGACATAGATTAGTAGGCGATAGATAAGCAGTTTATCCTACATTCTACAACCTATAAAAATGCCCATTATATCCATTTGTGTTCACTTCATTTTCTTTGTATGTAGTGTGTTGGGCAATACAACATGAGTAAACTGTAGGCAGGGTTTGTAAGTGGTCATCATATTACTGTAATTTTTCTTGTTTATAGTAAAGAAGAAAGCTCTGAGATGTTACTTGTAGATATAGATAATTTGGCTGAACAGCATTAAATTTGGTGTTTTACCTCTTCTCTTCTTTGGTTCTTTGCTATTTCCAATTCCTTTCCTCCTATGTGCATGTATAAATTGTATTGCTCACTCACCATTTCCAACAATTAGTATGACAAATTCAACTCTACCTAGTTTGATATATCAAAATTCAATGAGTCTAACTATACAATTTGGAAACTAAACATAAAGGGTGTATTAGTGAAGGAAGATTGTGTAATTCCTTTGAAAAGAAAAGAGTAGAAACCTGTTAATATGAAAGACAAAGAGTTTAAGAAGAAAAACCAAATAACCATGGCGGATATTCTTCTTACCTTAAAAGATTCTACATTATTCAATGTGTTCAATGAAACCACTACAAAGGGTTCATGGAACAAATTTTAGAATCTTTATGAAGGAAAATCGATGTCTAACAAAATTTTCCTTTGACAACAACTCTATAACATAAGAATGAAGAACTAAACCTCTTTGTAGAAACACTTGAATGAGTTCGACATTTTGATAAGAAAACTAGAAGTTGTTGAGGTGTGTATTGACAATGAAGAAAAGCTTACTATTTTGCTTYGTTCTACTATGTCTGACTCTTGGGATAGTTTGTTAATAAATTTGAGTAATACAAAATATTTGTCATTGGAATATTCTACTATATGATTCTTAGGATTAACACAAGAAATTTTATCCAT